TTAATGCCAACTATAGGGTAATAGCCAATAAGGATGAGTTATTCTATACACTATACATGGCCTTAAAATGAAACATATGGGGTTAAATTCAATTTGCCCCCTTAATTTATATGATATTTCAATTTTGAATTATTTTTCAATGGACGAAATTTCAAAATGCTTCAGAAACATTATTAATGCAGTAATCATATTATTTGATGCTGAAATGAAAATCCCTGAGGTGGAAAATGGGAGTTATTCAAGAGCAAACAGTATATATTACAATCAATTATATTCTAAGTAACAAAATTTCTAGTGCGCAACAAGCCATTACAGCTTCATAGGAAATCAGAATGTTGTAGTTAATAAAGCAATTATAATCTGTCATCCTGTCCTCAAGATAAGCAGTACTGCCCTGGAGCTTACCTTATGGATTTCTTTGGTGTAAATTAGACCTACTGAAGTATAACCAAGAATTTTAAATGTCATATTAATTTTACTCTCTGGAATATGTAATATGTTCCTAAATTCCTATATGTTCAAGTTAATTTTTATAGAATACCAACAAAAATTAATCTTCTGCAGAGGAAATGCATTAAAACTTCATATATAACTTCTGTAATTGTGTCTGCAGGAAATATAAAAATGACTAAGATAAACTGAAAAATGAATATGGGTAAATGCAGTTGTGCCCTTAAAGATGTTATGTTATACATTACTTTGAAAAAGTTTATTTTTATGCCATTATAACTGCTATATGTGCAGTAGGGCTTTTACTTTGCTCACTTTTCCTAGAGGTACAGATCAAATTCAGTTATAAACTACTCTGATCTGTTGAGTCAACTTGGCAGGTATTAGTGACTAATTGTTTGCAGAGATCAGGGTATTATGCTAAGTGTAATGTCAGACATAGGAAGACAAATAACATATGATTTTACTTATTTTTATTTTATTTTATTTTATTAAATTTTTTAAAATTAAATCTTTATTGTTCAGATTATTACATTGGTTCCTCTTTTTTCCCCCCCATAACTCCCCTCCTCCCAGTTCCCTCCCCACCCTCCGCCCTCACTCCCCACCCACTGTCCTCATCCATAGGTGCACGATTTTTGTCCAGTCTCTTCCCGCATCTCCCACACCCCTTTCCCCCACAAGCATAGTCAGTCCATTCCCTTTCTATGTCCCTGATTCTATTACAATCACCAGTTCATACTGTTCATCAGATTATTTATTCACTTGATTTTTAGATTCACTTGTTGATAGATGCATATTTGTTGTTCATAATTTGTATCTTTACCTTTTTCTTCTTCTTCCTCTTCTTAAAGGATACCTTTCAGCATTTCATATAATACTGGTTTGGTGGTGATGAACTCCTTTAGCTTTTCCTTATCTGTGAAGCTCTTTATCTGACCTTCACTTCTGAATGATAGCTTTGCTGGATAAAGTAATCTTGGTTGTTGGTTCTTGCTGTTCATCACTTTGAATATTTCTTGCCACTCCCTTCTGGCCTGCGAAGTTTCTGTTGAGAAATCAGCTGACAGTCGTATGGGTATTCCCTTGTAGGTAACTGACTTTCTTTCTCTTGCTGCTTTTAAGAGTCTCTCTTTGTCTTTTGCTCTTGGCATTTTAATTATGATGTGTCTTGGTGTGGTCCTCTTTGGATTCCTTTTCTTTGGGGTTCTCTGCGCTTCTTGGACCTGTAAGTCCATTTCTTTCACCAGGTAGGGGAAGTTTTCTTTCATTATTTCTTCAAATAGGTTTTCAATATCTTGCTGTCTCTCATCTTCTGGCACTCCTATAATTCTGATATTAGTGCGCTTGAAGCTGTCCCAGAGGCTCCTTACACTATCTTCGTATTTTCGGATTCTTTTTTCATTTTGCTTTTCCAGTTGGGTGTTTTTTGCTTATTCGCATTTCAAATCTTTGACTTGATTCTTGCGCTCCTCTGGTCTGCTGTTGGGTGTCGGTATAATATTCTTTATTTCAGTCAGTGTATGCTTAATTTCTAGTTGGTTCTTTATCACAACATCGAGGGTCTCATTCGTTTTCGTGAGGCTCTCATCAAGTTTATTGGCAGCTTCTAGCACATTATTGCAAGCCCTCAAAATTGCGTTTTTTAGTTCTATATCCTCCATTTCTGTCATGTTTTTTTGTCTCCGCATTTTTTATGCTTTCTTGGTGCACCCCCTAGTGGTCTTTGTGCGCAGTCTTGTTCTAGTTAAGCCTTGATTGTTGTAGTTAATACTAGAGGGATTTGACCACCAGGCCGACTGGCTGTGAGAATCAGCTGTGGGAAAACTTCTGTCCTCTGGAGAGGTGCTAATCTAGCCTTTGCCTGAGGCTATCCGGCAAATGGCTCTGCGCAGGGCTTGGGCGGGGCGGGTCGCAGGGGATCAACAGGGCAGGTGGAGGGAGCAGTTATGGCTGCTCTCAGTCTGGTTCCCAGAGGCTCTGCTTCTCAGAACCCCTGCCACCGCTGCAAACCTCGGAGAGAAACCACGTTCTGACTGATGCCAGACAATCCCGCTTCTCCCGTTTGAGTCTGAGTCCCTAGAGACTCGCCCGGATCTGGAGCTCAGAGTCTGAGACTCCCTCCTGATTGAAAACGACAACCTCGCCCTCAGCCACCAGCCCGCTCTGCGCGCACCTCCGCACCTTTTTATTTTCCACACTGCGCCTCCTCTGAGCCTCGGTATGCTGTTCTCTCTCCTTCTAGTTGAAGAATCTCTCCTCAGCCAGCTTTCCTGTGGTTCTGGGTGATGTCCGTTCTGCTTTTAGTTGTATTTTTGAAGTGGTTGTTTGCAGCAGCAATCTCCGGTGTTTACCTATGCCGCCATCTTGGTTCTATGATTTTACTTATATGTGGAAATTAAAAAGTGATATAAATGAACATATAAAACAGAAACAAACTCATAGATGCAGAGAACAAACTGATGGTTGCCTGATAGGAGGGGGCTTGGGAGCTGGGAAAAGAAGTGAAAGGATTACGAAGTACAAGATGGTACTTACAAACTAGTCATGGGGATGTAAAGTACAACATAGGAATATAGTCAATAATCTATAATAATAAAAGCGTGATATGCTAACTAGACCAGATGGACGGCCAAATGACCTTCCGGATGACATTCCGAATGATCTTCCAGACGAAGCAGGGGCTGCGAGGCCAAGGCAAGCCACCGCAGCTGTGAGGGCCGAGCCCCTTGCATGAATTTCGTGCATTGGGCCTCTAGTCCTATATAATAAAAGGCTAATACGAAAATTGTCCCCACCAGCAAGAGTTCAACCGACTGGGAGTTAGATGTGTGCTGACCACCAGGGGGTGGCATGAAACATGACTGACGTCAGTGACATGGCACTGGCAGCAGGCAGCAGTGGAGGCACTGCGAACCCCAATGGGCCCTGACGAGAGCAGGACTGCGGCAGGATGGTGGATCAGGTGAGCAGGCGGCACCAGGCCAAGGCAGGTGCAAGTGAGGGCCCTGATCACCCTGCCAGTTGCTCCACAGATGGTGACCAGCAGCAGTGTCAGGGGGCAGGGCCGGCAAGCAGGCAGTGCCAGGCCAAGGCAGGTGCCAGTGGGGACCTCAATCACCCTCCAGTCACCCCACAGATTGGCCCTGATTGCTAACCAGGCCTAGGGACCCTACCTGTGCACAAATTTCTTGCACTGGGCCTCTAGTATTGTAATAACTATGTATGGTGCCAGGTAGACTTATTAGGGGAATCACTTCCTAAGTTATATAAAAGTTGAACCATTATGCTGTACACTGAAACTAATATAATGTTGAATGTCAACTGTAATTTTAAAATAAAAAGGGGATAAAATATGACTTAAAATATTAGTTTTTAAGTCAAAATTTCAAAAGGTATAGGGTAAAAAGTAATATTCATTCTCAAAAGGCAATTGCTTATTTTTAGTTTTCTGTATATCTGTAGAAACATTCTATGTATAAGCAAATGCCTTTAAAAATACAAATTGGACTATATTATGTTCTTACTAAAGAATGTATTTTGGAGATTTCCTCTTATTATTAGATATTAAACTACCTCACTCTAACAACTGCATAGTATTTTACAATAGGGATATTCTCTCATTTGTTTAGCCAGTGTCCTGTTTGTGAATTTCCCTCCACTTGTTTATGTTTTTTTTAAAAAAAACATTTTTATTGATGTCAGAGAGGAAGGGAGAGAGAGAAACATCAATGATGAGAGAGAATCATTGATCAGCTGCCTTCTGCACGCCCCCTATTGGGAATTGAGCCTGCAACCCGGGCATGTGTCCTTGACTGGAATTGAACCTGGGACCCTTCAGTTCGCAAGCCGATGCTCTATCCATTGAGCCAAATCAGCTAGGGCTTGTCTTAATGTTGCTACAAATATATTTTCACATGTCTGTGCACAGGTGCAAATATATCACATAGATAAATTTATAGAAATGAAATTGTTGGGTAAAAGGATATGAATATTAAAACAAAAACTTTGACGGAGACTGGGAAATTGCCCTAAACATGTTTACAGTCTCACCAATAGTATATGAGAGTGCCTGTTTATACAAAACCTTGCCACTAAGTGTTTCACTGATTTTTTTTACTTTTGTTAATTTGAGAGAGAAAATGGTTTTAACTTGCATTTTTAAAAACTTTGAGTACAGTTAAGAAATAATACTTCTTAAAAATGACAATTAATGATAAAATTGAGAACTTTCTAAATTGTATCTGATTTTGGGTCTCTTTTGGGAGAGAGGCCCCAGAGAATTTAGTTATAAGAATAAATGTACATTGATAGGGCTCTTATATAATGTGGAGTGATAAACTATTTTAACAAGAGACAGTTTCATAGATAGGTTTCATTTTTTGAAAAAGGGGAAGAAACACCATTCTGTGGCTCGGTTTGGGTTTGTCAGTTATTACCTCCCCCCCCTTTCTGGGACTTCCCACTGTTCTTTAGAACAAATCAGACGAGCAAAAACAACTCTTTTTCCATTGGATCAGTCATAAAAAAAGTGGAAATGCAATGAGCAGCTTCATTTCTTGGTTTTTAGCAGCGAAAGGAATACTCACCAAAGGCTTGTGAACATTTCTGGATAAAGCACTGGCTGGCTTATTCATCTTCGTATGGTCAATCGTGTTTCTGCAGGACCAAAGGAGCAGATTGGTTAGTGAAGGTAAGAAAATGAGGCAACAGGCCCTGTAACCACTAACCTTTTCTGCCATTTCTCTTCTCATACTTAGTTTGTTTAATATCAGAACTCAGATTCAATCTTATGACATGTAAAATGCTTTTCTAGTTTACCAACTCCGAGGTGAGTGGGAGTTTAAATAAACATTCAATAACGAGGAATTGAATTAAGTGTTAAGTCAAACACTTCCTTCTCTTACCTCCTCATGTTCACATTTGGGGCATTGCTAAAGTATGCCCCCCCTCCAACGGACTGGTCTGATCAAATATTTGTTGTGTAATTTATTCAGTCCTCATTCACTAATTCCTACACAGGTTTAACTTCCGTGTTTTTAAAAGAAGGCCAACTGTACTTTCATAAAAGTAAAAAAAAAAAATTTAAAAGGCTGAAAAAGTTTTGCAAAGAGAGCACAACTCTTGAATTGTTATGGTGACGTAATTTTAGAGAGGAATACAATGTCACATACATTCCAATTGGATTTGACTGTTATTCGTTGTGAGTTTGTGATAAGTGTTTTCTGTGTAGCAGGACATATTCAAAGTGAATGTGATCTACAGTGATGATGCTTTTATTTTATTTTATTTATTTTTGTTTTTTAAAATATATTTTTATTGTTAATAGTATTACAGATATCTCCCATATCCCCCCTTCCCCCCTCCTCCCAGCCCCGACTCGCTCAGGTCTTCACTACCCTATTGCTCGTGCCCATGGGCTATACATATAAGTATATAAGTTCTTTGGTTTATCTCTTCTTGTCCCACCAACCCCACATCCAGGTACGAGGTATGTCAGTCTTCTCCGTGCCTCCCTGCTTCGGGTCTTATTTTGTTGGTCAATTCATTTTGTTCATTAGATTCCACAAATAAATGAGATCATGTGATATTTGTCTTTCTCAGGTTGAGTGACAATGCTTTTAGAATTGCTATCTGGGTGATTGGTTGGTATTAAACACAGTGCTTGTACAGGTGGGCTTTTGTTTGGATTATCTTTACACTTGATCTTAGCAAAAAAACCCGAGAAGCAATTGTTTGAATTATCTTTAGACCTAGTCAAACATTCTTTTTCTTGTGCACATCTATCTGTGCTTGAATATAGACCTGGTTTGGCCAGTATATTCATATGGATATTTTCAGAACATTGCTTGCAAAGGTCAGTGTAAGAATCTTGCATTTCTGAACTTAAGTTTCTTGAAGGAGTAGAGATATTTAAAATTCGTGTAAATATTCATATTACAATGGTAATTTGGCAGATATACAAAGGTAGTGCACTAATTCTAATAACACTTTGATGCAATGTTTTCAATAGTTATTTCAAGTTACTGAACCATTTCTAATCACATACCTAATGATTATCTTAGATATATGATATTGTCCCTCTATGCTCTTCTCAAACATGATAGAATGTAAATTTATCTTCAGTATTTGTTAACCCTCCCCCAAATTTTGGTGTGCAAAGTTTCAAACCTATATAAAAATGGAAAGGATAGTACAATGAACACCCCTATTTCTATCATGTAGATTAAGTAGTTGTAGCTATTTGCCACATTTATGTTTTCTCTCTCTCTCTCTCTTTCTCTCTCTATATATATAGACACACACACATATTCACAGCTTTCTTCCTGAACTGTTTGAAAGTATATTGTTGCCTTTAGGGCACATGATACCTTCAAATTCTTGAGCAATATATCTCCTACAAAATGGGCAGACTTCTACATAATTATAATGCAAAGGAAATTTAACATAAATAGAATCTTGTTATAGAATGTAATTCATATTCAAATTTCTCCAATTTTCCACATGTTCTTTAAAGAGTTTTTAAATCTAGGATCCAATGAAATACCTTACAATACATTTGGTTCAAATGCCTACAATTAAGCAAATGTTAACATTAATTGACATAATTGATAATATCATAAACAATGATTAACACCAAAGAAATTTAATACCAGTCAATACTATTATGGTCACTTTTCTAATTTTTTTAGCCCTTTCATTTTGTGTCAAAATATTTAAAAAATATTTTTAAAGGATGAACATAAGCTTTAATTTTTCTATCTGTGAGATGTAAAGACAGAATTAAAAAAATCCAAACTATGAAAGAAATATATTTACTAATATTTCTGCACCAAAATTTGCATTTTCTGAAATAAGAAAATTCACATATCCAGATATAGTAGTTGTTACCTTTGGTCATAAGGACCTAAGAAAATTATTTGTTAACATTATCAACATTATTGGTGATGCTAATATGGAAAACAGAGGACTTTTGACTTATTACCTTAGCCTTCAAATTAGACTTTCAGACATTAATTTGTTAAGAATCACTTCACATTTGATAGAAGAATAGATAGTCACAAAGTATATGTTTTGTGAGGAGAATTGAAATATGGATAAGTGATACTTTAGACAAATGATACTATCAACAAATACCACAAAAGATGAAATAATAAGGATATAAGACAAGGCATATGATTAAGTGAATGGTTTTTTTCAGCTCTAAACAATATGAACTTTCAAAGATAAGAGTAAGGAAATGGCAGGTGTGTGTGTGTGTGTGTGTGTGTGTGTGTGTGTGTTTTATATACAGGGAGGTCCTTCCTAAAGAAACCCTTTGTTTTGGGTAAAGTTCTTATATCATTTACTAAAAAAACCAAAAAAACAACAACCATGTAATACAGATTTGGTTACAGTATTATAACTAGATTATGAACAAAATAATATTCAAGTTTTCCAATGACAACCTTTCAGTGGTTTATCTGCAACGCTCCCAAATAAAAAAGGTCTTAAAAACATGGGTTGGAATGATAGAATCTAGCATTTAGATTACAAGGGAAATAGGGAATTGGAGAGATGAAATAGAGTATTTTGAGAATGGGGAGTATTAAAAGACAACATCCCTGATATATCACTACACATAATTTTTTTTTCTTAAAAATATGGAACGCTTCACGAATTTGCTTGTCATCCTTGCGCAGGGGCCATGCTAATCTTCTCTGTATCGTTCCAATTTTAGTATATGTGCTGCCGAAGCGAGCACTACTACACATAATCTTAACAAGACAGTTTGCTTCACCCTCAAATTTGAGACAAAAAAATAAATTTGCTTACCTGATTGAAAAGTTAAAAATAATAATAATGTGTTGAAGAATGTCAGTGGAAACAGTTAATCTCAAACATAGCTGGTGAGAGAATAAATTGGCCCAAGTTACTTGAAAGGCAATTTGCAATAATAGCTAGGATCTAATAATTCGGCTTTTCCAAAGTGGGCGGGCCTAAGGAAGCATTCATGGAAGCATGCGCAGTGGTTGCACATAATGAAAAAGCAAGAAAAACCCCAATGTCCACTATGAAAAGTGATTTGCTAACGTAAGCTGTGCCTGTAGATGTATGATTTTGTAACTTAAAAGGCAGATCTATATAAGCAGACATGCTGACAGATGGGACCCAAATTGCACCCCAACTGGTTAGGCCCAAGACCTTCTATGGAACAGCAGATGCTGTCTTCCTGTCTTTAGTTCCATAAAACTACATCCTGTGATGTGGGAGGCAGCCCCATCCCACTGCCTCCATTATTGTGCAGCTGTGGTCTTTTGTGCACCCTTTCTCATCCCAGCCTCTCAGATGACTTAGTTTGCATGCACGTAAATTGTTCTTCCAGGGACAGGATCTGTGCTGCTGCTTATCGCCTCCAATTCCCCCACTTGCTACCGATCCCCAATCTGCCTGCTTTCCTTTTGCTATTGCCAGTTATTCCTTCATTCAGAGGACTGTCCCAATGATTTATTTCATTGTTTAAAGTAGCAGATGATTTTGCTAAAGTTTCACGCAATCCTGATAAATACAGGGCTTGGCAAAAGTATGTTGACAGTTCATATGAAAAAAGACATGCAAGTAATACTGATTACAATAGCTTTATTAACTCAAAATAATATCACAGTGGCACAGTGCACTTAGGTACAATCTTGTAAGGGCTCAAGTTGCTGGCCTTCATTATGTGCACACTGTTGTAGTCTACTTGCTATACTCAAGCACACTTTGGCACATTTATTGTCATCAATTTCTTGACATGCTTCACTTATGCAGCGAATCATATCATCCACCATATGTGGCTTTTGTGAGAAGACTTTATTTTTGACAACTCTCCAAAGAAGTCCACTGGGGTGAGGTCTGGTGATCGCGGTGGCCATGCCACTGGCCCTCATTGACGTATCCACTTGTTGGGTAATTGTTCATTAGGAAACTCACCCACTGTTTCTACATAGTGTGGAGGAACTCCGTCTTGTTGAAAGAAGAAGCCATCAATATCATGTTGTCTCTGTGATTGTGGTAAACACTGGCCCTCATGCTGAGATACAGGTTGTGTGTGACAGTTGTATGGAAAAAATAGGTTTAAGTACCCCTTTACACGAAACACCCACCCAAACTGTAGTCCCTGGCTGACTCAACGGTCCTTCTCTCATTACATGGGGATTTTCTCCTGAATAGTAGACACAGTTGTGTCAATTTCCAGCATCTGAAAGTTTTAAAAGGTGCTTCAGCGAACCACACAATTTTACCAGTGATGACATGGCCTTGTCTTCATTCACAACCACTTCACAGAATTGTAAACTGCAATCCAGATCATCTCCTAATAACCCATGAGGCAATCTTGGCCGACACATTTCCAAACCTAAACATTGCATTAGATGACTCAAAGATCTATGGGAAATGCCTAACTCAACAGAAGCTCTTTGTTTTATTATTATTTTTTTTTGGGGGGGGGCAATGCTCTTTGTAAATGCCTGACTCACTAACATTTCATTTTCCTGGTTGTAATACTGTCCAGTTGACCACTTTTTGGAGCAGGTTTCATCAAATTTATCGCATATTCTGTAAATTGTTTGTCTACTTAGTGAAGGTATCAAATCGTTCAGCCCATTTTTATCGAACCTTTTCAGCATTCTCTGTCTTCCAGTATTGTTTAAGTATCCACTTTC